AGAGAGAGAGAGAGAGAGAGAGAGAGAGAGAGAGAGAGAGAGAGAGAATATATTTACCAAGAGTCCACAGCACAGTCTTTTTACCTAACAGCAGCTCCTCCTTGAGCTGCTACAGACCAGTTGTGGCCTAGAGGAGAGTGGGAGAAACAGGGTGAGAAGAGACAGGAGAGTAAGGATCTGGCATTCTCTGGAAAGACCAGAGAAAAGAAAGCCCCAGGAACAAGCCAGCAGAGCAGGAAGGAGCAGACCAAAGGTTGGATCCAGTTCTTGCTTTTTGGAATGCAAAGCAAAGAAAGTGTGGGCTCGGAACTGGAGATCCAGGCTTGTCCTTCCCAGTCCAAGCCACCTCCCTAGTGTGTAGTCACCCACCTGAACTGCAGAAGCCCCTGCAGAGATTTCCCTCACTGCCACATCCTCCTGGGCTTCATAATGGGCGTGTCTAGTGGGTAAACCAAGGCAGGACTTCCTTAGACCCTGATTCCAGTTCTTCAGCAGCTGCATTTTCTTAGCTCCGTTTGTCCAGCTCACATCTTTCTCTGTGTTTTTCCCTGCCGAAGGGACTAGCCGGTGCTAACATTGCCCCGTGGGAACTCCACCCATGGTCAAGGGGAGCACGGGGAATAGAGTTGGTCCCTCTTGGGATAAGTTAAGATACTCTTGAAGGACCAGAAGACTCCTGGGAAAAACAGATGAGCCTATCAAGATAGCATCATGTCCAAGGCCATGTGTGCAGGGAACAAAACGAGAATGGGGTTGGTCCGAACCCACCTGCAGAGCTGAGCAGCAATGGCGAAGCTGGAAAGTTGCCTTCCTGGCTGCAGCTCAGCCTCTTCATCTGTAACAAGAGTGTAACATCTCCTTTGAGGGTTTTGCACTACCAGTCAAAAGGGGTACATCTTCCCCCTCCCTAAAAGAACAGTAGCTAGCATGTACTGACTTATCCCAGTAAGAATTAAAGACGCTGGAGCTGGAGTGATGGCTCAGCCACTCTTTGTATGTATTGCTCTTGATGAGAACTCAAGTTCCTCTCACAGCACCCATGCCAGCCAGCTCCAGGGCTATCTGATGCCTCTGTGGGCACTAGCGCTCATGTGCACATACCCACACACATATACTTATGCATATGCAAAATACAAGGAATCTATCAAAACAAAAAGACTGAAAGGTACTATAATGAGGATCTCATCGCATAGCAAGATGAAGTCAGGGGTTTATTGCTCGTGGATGGTGGGGAAATGGACATGAATCAGGACTGTAGATCACACACACACCCATTGTCTGGAGAGTTTCCTCTTGTCTCTAGACACTTGGGTGCTCTGGTTCTTAGTTGTTGACTTTTTGTTTTACAGCCATACCCATTCCTCCCCAATGCTTATGAACATCGCAGTGCCCCTCGTTCATAGCTTCCTTTTCCTCTCTCTCCACAGCACCCTCAACAACAACAACATTAGCCGCATCCTGGTCACCAGCTTCAACCACATGCCGAAGATTCGGACTTTGTGAGTAAAGACTCTGCTTCCTCCCCACCTGTCTCCTACCTTAAGCATCCCCAGGCACTGCTGTCTCTGCCTGTAAAATCTACCAGACTGTGAATGGGCACATGGCTCCCATATCCAAAGTCATAAAGCAAGGGGGGACTTTAGTGAGTGCAGGCAGGTGCAGGGCAGGGTCATGGTGCAGCCTGGCTTCCTAGCTGCCATTCTGTGCTGGGAAAACTCATTTCTTCTCACCCCGGACTGTGAGAAGCCTTCCTGCACTGTGTTTGCTGTGTTTGGTAGAAAATGTGTTAGTTTTATGTTACCCAGCCTACTTATTTAAAAACAGAAAACTTATACAGTGACATACACACACACACACATTTGTACGTGCACACACGTCTGCCATTGATTTTACTCATGCCGTATCTCATTGGAGGTTCTGTCATAATGTGACTTTCCCTTCTGGGAATGGAAAAGGAATCTTTCTTTGTCCTTTGTCTGCCCCACCAAGGTGCCACCTGCTCCATGCTCCTGCTCTCTGGACAACATTTGGATATTAGAATGCACTAACCTAGTGCCTCATCGTTTAATGCCTTGGAGAAGAGTAAGCCTTCAGGTTGGGTGCTCCAGAAGCATGCCCATGACTCGTATTATCTGGGGCACTCTACATTCAGCCAGTAACCCATCTGTAAGTTTTCTGAAGTAGAACTCTTGGCTTTTCTAAAGAGATTCCTGCTGGATGTTCTTCCCTTCCAGAGTGTCTGCATCACAGTAGAAAATGAGAGCCAGCCCCAGGCAGCTTAGCCAAGTCCATTTAGGGCCAAAGCAAAGAACTGCAATGCCCTCTGGCCTTAACTGGCTCTCTGACCGCTTTTCCTTCTTCTATAAATATGGCTGGTGGTGAAGAGTGTTTGGAACTAACCATGCAGTGCCCAGCACCCGGCAGGTAATAGATAGCATTATATGTTATCATCACACAATTATCTAGAAATCTGGACTGACCATTGCAAGCTCCTCTGTGCTCCTCGGGCAACATAAAATCCTGTAAGCAGTTCTCCCCAGACCAGCAGCTCAGAACCATCTGGAACTTTTCCAGAAACACAAGTCCCAGGACCAACCCCAGGCCTATGGGGCAGAGACCTCTTGGGGTCTTGCCCATACATCTCTTGGCTGTAAGCTTCGTGCTGTTATAGTTTGAAAACCACTGAACTCCTCGGTGAGAGTAAACAAAAACCAAGATAGGGACATACACGAAAGCAACGCAGAGCATTTGGAGCGGGCAGATCTGAGTTTAGATGCAGGTGCCACCACTCACTGAGGACACACCTTCATCTTTCTGTGCTTTGGTCAGGGACTTAGTAATACATGCTCACATTGGAGTCGCTGTGAGGGCGCACTATGATATGTGATGTGGGAAGTGCCTCTTGTGGGGTGCACACCGCAGTGTTAATTATTACCAATAATTGTCGCCCCAGACCCGTCTCTTATCTCTGCTCCCAGATTCCTGTTGGACACCCTCAGATGACAGCACATGGAGGAAAATAAGTCATCTTCCCTCCCTCTGAAAATGGAGTGCTACATTAATAGAATTTTAAGGAGACACCATTTTGTCTTCTGAGCACCCAGCAGACCATAATTAAGCTGAAGAAGCCTGGAGCCCAGGTTCCAAAACAGGAAGTCAAAAGTGAGCTTCAGGGTGCTGGGTCTGGTCTCCTAAAGGAATGGGTACCCAGAAGTTCTCCCTGTGGAACCCAGCCTTGCAGTACCTCCTGACATTTCCCCTGTGGCAGGCTTCCCCTGTGACTGAGGGAGAATAGGTCCGCAAGAGCTGAGGGAGGTGGCTAGCGTAGGCTCTTGGGTACCCTCTTGGGACACGTAGAGGAGGAGAAGTGGGTAAGTTTTATCTCATTTCGCTTGTGATTTTTCTCGATGGTACCAAATATCCGTCTAATGAGTTCAGATCAATCAATCAATGTCGTCTGTCCCTTTGCTCTCTGCCGGCTGCCATTTTCTCTTTGGTTTAATTCAGAGATGGCTCAGTACAGAACTCCCAGGGGACAAGCTGACTAATCCCCCTTCACTGTAATTAAAGCGTTAGGGGTGGGCAACCAGTGTGGGAGAAGGAGGGAGGAGGAGAGAGGAAGGAAGTGCTAAATGGGATTTCCAAAGGCAGGCTCTTCCATAGAATTCAGAAGGCCACATTTGATGGAAAATGAACACTGACCCTCTCTAAAAGGATTTGCTGGAAATTTAATTTGGCATCTGTGGCTAAAAGGCACCTTTTGTAAATTGGCATTTGTATTCATTCGCCTCCTGCTCCGCAGAGGTGGTCTCATCTGTGTGGAATATGGTGTGTCCACCCTCAAAAGATCATAGAACAGCACGCAGGACCCCAGCCACCTGGAAGCACTCACATATCTAAGCAGCTGCAGCCACAGGCAGGCACGGCCATTGTTTGGGAAGAGACTCAAATCCACCGTACAGCCAGTATTTCCGCATGGTCCTACCATATGCCAGGCCTTGTGTGAAGCACTCCCCGTGAGTTAGTTCAACCCGCAGAATGGTCCTGCCCATTTTATAGCTGGCAGCACTGAGGCTTAGAATGAAATCACTGCTCCAAAATCAAAGTCAGAAAGCTGGAACCAGTGCCAGGATTAGATCATTTGGCCTCTGAGCCGGAGCTCACATCACCCAGAGGGGTGAAAAGCAGAAGACCATGGGGTCAGATGAGCAGAGCAAGGAGAGACCAGAGCTTCCACATGGTGCGGGAACTGTGTCATTACCCTCACAACTTAAAACGATAGAACGTGATTAAATAATTTCCCTCCTCAGTCAGAGGATTTGAACCATTCTTAGCAATTTCCACGCCAAATCTGATGATGTTCGTGGTTATTTTTTAAAAACGGTACTTAGAAAGCCAGCGTGATAGTCCGCACTGGCCTGTAATTTCTGGTGCTCCGAGGGTAAGATGGAAGGTAGAGACAGGAGAGCTCCTAGAAGCTCACGAGCCGGCTAACCTGCCTTACACAGTGGCAGGCAAGGAGACTGTCTCCGACACAAAGGAAGGCAAGGACTGACGCCTAGGTTGTCCTCTGACCTGACCTGACTGTGCACACCCACAGTCACACACTCATATGCACACACACACCACACACTCATGCATGATCCACACAGACACACATACAAACGAAAAGTGTGGTTAGTATCTGGAGCAGCTGCCCCATTTTATCTTCCAAGCAGGGTATGAAAGATGACTTTAAATAATCTATCTAGCTTGACCCTGCTGTCATTTCTGATAAATAATATCCCGAACAGAGGGGGGGCCGAGCCTGTCCCCTGCCCAGGGCTTTCTGGATGAAGGCTCCATGTGGCTGCTGTATCAGTTGAGGTCACTACTTTTCTGTGACCCCACTTAGGAAGGGAGAAGGTCTCAGAAAGATGTTCAGAGGGAGAGAAACATCTGTAGCAAGATGGAGAAGAGCGGTCATTTGGGGCTGGCCCCTTGGGGCTGAGAAAAACTCAACACAATCTTCAAAAGGGAAGCCTCCAACTTTTTGATTAACCCAGAAGTGAAGCATCTGACGTAAACCTGGACGTGCCTAAACTCCATTCTTGTCCTCTTAAACTCTTATCCTCAATTGGAACTGATGGGAATGTGCTCTGATTTAGCCCCTTCCGAGACCCATGCTCGAAGTCATCCCTGTTGTGTTAACATCATTGTATTACTACCAGACAGGGCACAGAAAGGGCAAGCTGGTTAGCTGGCTGAGTCTCCTGGCACGAATAGAATCCCCTCCCCTCAGCCCACTCTACAGGGCAGCCTGCCCCGTGCTCCCCCTACCCCTCACAGAACCACTATGCAATTTGCCCAGGCACCTCTGCTACCTGGCAGGGGCTGGCAGGAAAATCCGTCGTCTCCTCCAGCTGTTTAGGAAATGATAAGAAATCTTCCCTTTGTTCTTGGCACAAAGTGATCATGCTCATTAGCAGAGGTCTTGCTAATACCTCCTCCGATTGAGGTATTTCTCTCTGGCTTGGGACTTGAACCACAGTGCCCTTTCTGGATTCAGAATCCAGGCTTAGGAGAGGCCATGCTTGCATTAGCTTGGAGGGTTTGGACTTGGAAACTAAAGGGGAAAACCTTATAGTTTCTGTGTCTAGGGCCTTGGAGTTTCTGAAGGTGTATCTGGCTTAATCTGAAATTCAAAAAGTACTTAATATCTACAGATATTTTTAGCAAAAAATAAAGTTAATTTGGGGTTCATTTAATCCACCTGAAATGCTCGGATTTGGGGTAGCCAAGCCCCAGTGGACTTGGCCAGCTGAGGTTCTGTGCCCACTGCACAGAAGCCTCATCCAGCGCACAGCCTGAGTTAGCTGCACTTGGCTGGTGTTTGGCAATGTTGACCTTGGGATAAGTGGGACATAGTCAAGGGCCCTCCAGTTCTCTCATTATAGTGCAGACATGATCCAAGCCGCTCCTTTGGGCTGCCACGCTGTATTAATGGGCCCGACACGGGGCTCTCCACAGCCCCAAGGGAACAGCTGGCTCATTAGCGTGTTCAGGATTACCTATTGGAAACCGACAACGAAACCTGGGGTCTAACGCTCCTGAAACTCATGCGGCGCCAGTTCCAACAACTGCTGGGAATGTGGAAGTTGGAGACACATGGCTTGTAGTCCTTACGGAGGGCCCTCCAGAAGTTCCTGGGTGTCCTCAGTTTGCCTCCTGGCGCATAGGAGGAAGTTCAAATCACTGAGCCAGAGGAGATTCCCCTCAGAAGTGGAACAGGCAGACCCGTCTAGGGACTCTTGTCCACTCTTCGACAAGAAACTGATCTGGAATCCCAGCTCCCAATGAAGAATCGTAGTCTAGAAGACTACTTCTTCCCAGAGGCATCTAGGTCACTGAGAGTGGGAAACCACCAGGTAAAGCCGATCTTGACACGGAGAAGGCAGGGCTATGGAGAGAGTGTGAGGGATTCCAAGACCCTGCTCAGAAGGACACCTTCTTTAACAGGAGGGTAGAGAGGAAGAATGTCCTCCAGAGAGCCTCTTCTCTCTGTGCCCCCTCACCCTGCCCTGGGTGCACAGTTGGCACTGGCTTAGAGCTCCCCAGTTGTCCTGCTGTGGGATCACAAAGGACACTTAAGAGGTGATGCAGGAGAGGCAGAGAAAGCTGTGGCAGATCTCAGCCACAGGACCCAACAGAACCGGAGGGGAAGCAGAACTCGTCTAGGCCAGCTGTCATTCTTACACTCCCGTGTGGCAGAGTCACCCTCTCTGACTCACACCAGGGTGGGTGGGGTCCTTCTCTGTCATCACACTGTGGTGATGTCATCCTCCCTCTCCTCTGGAAAGGAAAAGAGCACAATTACTATTATATCATTGAAATTGCTCCAAACCTCCAGGACCAGAACGATTGACTGCTACCTACCCTTGAAAGATATTAGTGGTTTCTGATTTTCTTCCTGTGCATAGGGGTCAGGAATGCTGCTCTGGGCTCAGGTAAATTATCATGCTGGGGCCAGGGACACCAGAGGTCTCACCCACTCTCTTCTCTGTGTGATGGCCTCTCTCTCTCTCTCTCTCTCTCTCTCTCTCTCTCTCTCTCTCTCTTTTTCCCAGGCGTCTCCACTCCAACCATCTGTACTGTGATTGCCATTTGGCCTGGCTGTCAGATTGGCTGCGACAGCGGCGGACGGTTGGCCAGTTCACCCTCTGCATGGCTCCTGTGCACCTGAGAGGCTTCAATGTGGCAGATGTGCAGAAGAAAGAGTATGTGTGTCCAGGTGAGCCTGCCTTGCCTGCTGTCCCCTCCTAGGCTAAGAGCGGCATGCCCATCAGGAACCTGATCCTGAGCATACCCCTCCCAGGGGTTGGTATGGAAGGAACCCCCTAGTCAGCGGAGAGGAGCTTGCATTCTGCAAGAGGTTCAGAGAGAATCTGTTGACCTCTGAAACAGGAGAGGCTGAAAGAACTCCTGAATCACTCTCTGTGAGCCCCATAGACCCCTGGTGCTAGGAAACCTCAAATTTGATGGGCAGCATATCATCAGGATGCAGGTATAATGAGGTGGTTTTTGCGTTGACTCTACACCTCTGCCACCTAAATGCCTATAGAAATGGGGAGATGCAGGGCCTGGACGAAGCCAGTCTAGGTAGAAGTCCTAGTCCTGATGTGTGATTTTTGGCAAGTTATCCCTCACCTGACATAGAAATAATGCTAGAATACAGCTCAAAGAATGAGTGGGAAGATTAGGGAAAATACTGAGTATAAAACACTTAGCATAATGCTTGTTAAGGAGCGAGGTAAGTGAAGTTTGATGATTACAGCTTAGTGCGCCCACAGGATGTGCGGAGCAAACATAAGGGCTTGATCTGTGGGTGATTGGGGTGTAATAGAGGCCCAGACTACCTACATAGCACTCGGAACTGACGCATACAGGCACAGAAGTCAGATCTCCAAAAAACGGCAAGTGACTGAGTGACCCAAGATCTTCCCAGAGGGCACAGCTTTTAAGCCAGACCCCAGTTTTTTGTTTGTTTCTGTTTACTTTTACCAATTCTTCTGGTGGCAAAGAAGTAGAGACGAGTCCTGGGTTGGGGGGGGGGAGCGAGGGGAAGCACACACACACAACGATTCCCTGAGAGTCATATTGGTTTCCAGGAAGCCAGCCCTGGATTGCAGTCCCGTGACTTCTAAAGGGCTGAGTCAGTGCACACAAGGAGCCGACAATGCATTTCTTTCTCCCCTCCGCTATTACCCACTTTCAATGCTGTCCTCGGATGCTTTCTTCTGCTGTGCTAAAACATCGGGCAGAAGCAGCTTGAGGAGGAATGGATTTAGTTCATCTTACAGCTTGCAGTCCATCACTGAGAGAAGATAGGACAGGAACTCAAGGCAGGAACGGAAGCAGACGCCGTGGAGGAGCGCTGCTCACTGACTTGCTCCCCATGGCTTGCTCGGCCAGCTTTCTTATGCAACCCAGGACCACCTGCCTATCAATCATGAATTAAGAAAATGCCCCACTGACCTCCTTATAGGCCAATCGAATGAAGGCATTTTCTCAGTTGAGTGTCCTTCTTCTCAGATAACTCTAGTTTATGTCAAATTGACCAAAATACACATACACACACACACACACACGCATATGCACTCACACACACACACACACACATGCATACGCACTCAAACACACACATGCATATGCACTCACATGCGCGCACACACACACAAACCAATTAACCACCATGGTACTTAGGGCTTAACAAACTCAATTAACAAACATCCAGGCCCCAGGATGCCCAGACTATAGACTTTGTGGGTGAACCATTCAGTTCCTGAATTCCGGGTGCCCCTCCTCTCTCTCCCCTGCTCCTTCCCACCCCCTCACCTTGTACTTCATCGCGTTCTTTAGTCTTCGAAAACATTTTAACACATCCCTAAGTAGTACCTCAATAACTTCCGATGGACGCCCACTTAGAAATCGCTTCCCATCAAACACATATAATAAAACCGTTTATCACACAGGCACCGGATTCAAACATAGTGACTATAATTACAGTAATTATCAGGCAAAGGGTGCAATATCGGCATAAGTGCCAGTGAAAGAAATAATTACAGAGTGCAGGAGCCATCCAAGAGCTACTGAGGAAAACTAATTAGAGAGAATGTGAAAACACTACATGACAGGTAGGTGCCAGGGAAGTGGCATATGACCATGGATCACGTCCCTGTCATGAGAGCTGCCTCCCGCCAACACACTGCCCAGGCCCTGCTTACCCAACAGCAGTCAGAACCCAAGCCCCAGGAGAAGAAAGTCGCCTGGCCGCAGTCCTAGAAACGCTAGTGCCTGAGCCCTCGCCCTTTGAAAAGCTTAGGTCTAGCAGCAGCCTCCATGACTAAATGTAGGAAGAGAACAGCCTTATCTCATCCCTGCTTACGGCAGCCACGCCCACTTCACATGATGGTCCTTGTCATTTCTGTCATGAAGCCAGATGTCTTTTGAGGACATGAGAACAGCCTCCCCCTCCTCAATCTCTAGACATTCATAAGCTATGAATCTCGCCCTGTCTCCGGTAGTACCAACTTAGGGCAGTAATTCAGAGGGACTCCCCCTATGTGCAAAGGGTTATTTCGGTGGCTCGTCGGGTACCCGAGGGTTAAAACATAGACTGTTCTGAGCTTTAAAAAAGGTCACAGTTAGTCACAGTGCTTGGGGGATCTGGCGTATTGAACCCCCGTGAGGAATGGACACTGCCGTTTCTGACAAGTGAGAAATGAGAGGTACGGGCACCACATAAGTGTCGCCTCGTCTGTATGATAGGCAGTTTATAAGACTCTGATAAAGGATGCTAGAGAAAGCAGTATGGAACAAGGCAAGTTAGACAGCGGTGACCAGTCTGGGAGGCCCTGAGAGGAAGGTCACAGAGAAGGACTGTCCTAGATCCTTGCCACCCTTGCTTGCACCACCGTGGAGGGTATAGACCCACCCACCTCAGGGCAGAGCCCGACAAGGCATCCGAGTGAGGCAGCCCGGTGTGGAGCTGGCGGTGATTGCCTAACATTGCCCAACCACAAATCGAACAGCTCACTTAGGGCACGAAAACTTCTGAATGACGCAGGTCGTCACTCAGGAGCAACAAGCACATGGGACATCAGTTACGTCTCCTGTACCTGTAGCTCCAACCCCAGAGCGCCCTGTCAAAGCAGCAGGAGAAAAACTCCCTGAGTCCTTTCATGGTGGCTGAACCTTCCCCGAAACACAGCTCCAGAGATAGGCCAGACCTTATCTCACTTAGCTGGGAGGCCCTGCCTGCCCAAGTCCCTGATAGCGCCCTTGAATTAAATCCAGCCATCCTGAGCCTGGCCTCTCCTCACCCCCCCCCCCAGAAGCCTTGGGGACGGACACATTATCTCTCCAGCTAACCAGAACCCTGGCGGCAGCACACTTAACAAAATGCATCTCCTGTCAGCTGTACCCTTCCAGTCTAAGACATTTATTTCCTCCCTCTGGGGAGGCAGTTGGGATTTTTTTTTTTTTTTTTTTTTTAGCCAGGGTGAAGGGAATGCATCTCTATTTTATCTTTTATCAGAGTATCTTCTGTGTGGAACAGCCTGCCCTTCTGGGCCGCCTTCAGTGACTACTAAAGGATTTCTCTGTCAGCATCTTTTGTTTCTAGAGCCCGAGGGCTTTAAGGACCCACAGGCCATGTTTCATCTGCTTGTCCCTTGGAACATATCAGAATTTTATCAAAGTGTGTAATACATTAGAAAGGGGTTCATGTTATATGATTTGTAAGGTTTTTTTCCCATCTTCATTTTATGGTCTTATTTGGGACTTCATATTCTTAAGATTTATTTTTCCAGGTGTTTCTTTCCTGATATCTTAATCTCAGAGAATTCCTACCTGTCATTATTCATAATTTATGGCTATTTGTTAACTATTTGACCTCCTGAATCAATTATCTCTTTCCTTTGAATGTCTTTGAGCCCATTGATTTGTCTATGCACTTCAGACCTGTGGCCTTGAATATGAAATATCTTTTCATAAAGATATCAATCTTATCTTCCTGTAGTAAAGGACAAATCTCATTTTTTTTCCCAGGTGCCCCTAAACAATGCTGAATCCCAACAGCCTCTCCATAAATTTCCTCTTTTACCATTCAAAAATAAAATACACTTATCTCCCTGGAAACAGTAACTTTCTTTCATTCTCTTTTTCTTTCTTCCTATTTGTGACTAGTTACTAAGTATAAAGATAATTAAGGTAGGCTGTGTCTTGCCACCCCTCTCCTTAGGAGGTTTTAATTAAAATGCCATAATTGAACATTGCAGGAATGAGATTATTAGGTTTATTTAGCCATTTCCAAAATGATCATGCCTCTGGTATTTAAATCATGTTCATTTATATTCTCATCGTAATTGCTGGAGTTCCTTTGTCACTGAAGTCTGGTGTTGGCTTTTGAAAGGCCAGAGGCCAGTTGGGAAGCTTAATTTGAATACTGGAATTAATTTATTTCAACATACTCACAAGGCCATTGGATATTTTTACTCTGTACTCTACTGGGTGATTTTTTTTTTTTAATCAGAAGAAAAGAAACAAGAGAGTGTTCGCCCCCGCTAGTGTAGCTTACACGAACCATGTCTTGGTCCCTCCTCCTACCTCCTGAGGTTCCCAGACTCCATGGATTTTCAATTCTGTAGCTATAAAGAGCAGCATTTTAGGTGGGGTTATTTTTCCCCCTCAGAAGAGACAGAACAGTGCTCATTCACACGTGAGAATCGGCTCTCTGATCTTAGGTAGTTTCTTTAACCTTTACACTCTGCGGGTCCTTCATCAGTGTGATGGGAATGACAGAGGTAGAGTTTGGCTCACAGGTCCACTGAGGATCAAGTGGTATCATATATCCAGAGCCCTGAATGCTGCGTAGTCTTCATCTCTTGGGTGCTGGCTGCTGTTACGAGAGAGGTGATCATTCTTGGCATCTCCATGGGCTCATCTGAGACCAACGGCACCACTCTTTGTCCATCATCTGGGCAGACGAGTATGGGCCTTGCAATTTTAGACCCTCCTCTTTTGCCAGTTAGGAGGAGAGCAAAGATGGAGTGGTATCTGAGCAGGGGCTATCTTCTAGTCATAGGGTCCCATTTCCTTCTCTCTGGGCTCTAGGGGAAGACCTGTATGGTCAGCTCAGGCCAGATCACTAATACACAACTGTGCCTGTGCCCACAGCCACGACCACCTTCCTGAGGAGAGGTTTAGTTGGGGACCGTGCCTGCCCCATGCTCCCCATCCTCATGCTCCCTGGTCTGGGAAACCCTGAAGTTTGCATCGTGTGAGGAAGGGCTGGTACCGCCATTGTCCCGTGCACTGCTCTCCTGCGCCTCAAGACACCAGACCATGCGCTGGGAAATGGGCTTTGCTAGCACTGAACCATAGTAGAAAGAGTGAACCTCCCAACTTCCACGGCCACTCCATCTCCTACTTAACATCCAAACCCACCTCCCAGAGCCAGGGGACACTCAGAACTCAGGGAGCCTTCCTCGGGGGCACCCAGCAGTAACTCCCACCTCTGTAGCTTGGGGACATTACCACCCCCACCTTTTCCAGGCCCCTAAGTCAGTTCATTCATGTGCCCATCCTCATTATCCAGAATGCGGCTATTAAGTTCATTCTGTACTGAGACCTGTGTTAGGCAGTGAGAATATAACAGTAAGACTTAAAAAGGTCATTGCCTTATAGAGTTCACATTCTCAGCCTGCACAGAGACAGCAAAGGGCTGGGACTTCTGCCATCACTTACGGACACCCAGGCCTTTAGGGCACTGGACCTGGTTCTTCAGTCCCTCATCAGAGGACTGTGCTTGCCAGGGAGGGAATCTGTCTTTCAATCATATTGAAACCTAAAGTGTTTAAACAAGGGGTATTGGCCCTCCCACCGGAGGGTGGTGAATGCCTCCCTGGGGAGCTGCCAGCCCAGGGTGCTGACAGAGGCTATAATTACCACCATTTTCTCTGTGTAATTAAAGGTGTTGTTAGTGACCTGGTTAAGGAATCCTTTTTAAAGCTTTCTTTTTTTTCTTTTTGCCTTGACAACTTGCCTTGAAACATAGTGTGTACCGCTATCGGACTCAGAACCACCCAGGGAAGACCCCAGCCGGTTCCCAGGGGATTGCTACCTGAGTCTGGTTTAGAATTCATTCGTTGTGACATGAAGTGAGAGGGAACCTTTATAAAACTCCATGTCGCAAGCTCCTATTGCCAACAGGAACCCTTGAATTTGATCCCTCTCCCTATTGTAGCTTTTCTGATGCATACTCTGCAAGTAATATTTTGCCTGATCAAAAGAGGGGCGCTCCTCAGATCCACCTGCCTGAATGGGTGGAGTTACTAGACTCAGACCAGCATATCCCCCTAGAGGAAGATATCCAGGGTACGGTAGTTCCCCTAGCCCAGTCAAGTTCCTTTTCTCCTTGATGTAGAAGGCCTGGCCTGGCAGTTTTCCTGAGGGGAAGAAAGTCATCTACACTTCAAAAGCCCTGGCATGGGAGGCCAGCTGTTTGTTCCCAGGCTTCCTCCACACTGGACCCTTTGTGTGCTTTGTGAGAAGAAAATGAGAATAAAACACCCTTCGAGGTGTCCCTCGCCCACAGCATCCATTGTTCTGAAGGGCAGGTGGCTTCCCAGTCCCACCAAGGACCTCAGAATTCATGCCTTCGCGGCGTCTCATCTCCGGAAATGGGAGCAGAAAAACTCAGCTCTGCCAGTTGCCCGAGAACTCTCAGACAATTGGAGGCAGCGAAAGCCCCACCAGCAATGACCCCGACTCTAGGAAGCCCTTGCCCTGTCAGACCTACCAACTGCCTCTGCTTCACAGCAAAGCCATGTTGTGGGTTAGGTACAGTGATTCCCCCCCCCCCCATTTTACAAAGGAGGGAAACTGAGAAACAAGCACAAATGAAGAAAGAAGATTAAGGTCCAAATCTAGTCCATGGTACTCCACCACTGCCTGCCACAGCCACACACTTGATGGCTCCTGGCCCCTGGCTTCTCCAGGTTGGCTTTCTGCTTTAACACTTTCTGAAAAATAGAAAGACTTATCTCAGTTTGCAATGAAGCCCGATTCTCTCCTCTCTAAGAGAATGTTTGAGTTTGGGTATTAGTATAAGTCATGAGCTGTGTGACCTGTTCTATGGTCCACTTTGAATCCTCGAGCATGTCACCCATTTCTCTGAAGTCCTCGTTGTCTAGACATTTTGTCAAACATCTTGGTTAAGACGCTCTCTTTAAGATTTTTATTTTTCGTGATGGTGTGAAGTACTAGACAGTAAGAATCTTGGGTTATTGGGTTGGCATTTTCTGGAAAGAAGAACGTTCTAGAATGAGCTTTGGGCACAATTTGAGCTTCTACAGAAGGGAGGCCCTGGGCACTCCTGAATGTGGGGTGTGGGATTCTCCACTTAGAACCTTGGTGTCCAGATGAAGGCTTGCCCCAGACTCAGCTGATCGCTTCCCTCAGCCACTCTGACAAGATTACTCAGGACTCGGGTTTCCCCAGTGAGCACAGGCCAAACCAAAAGTCATTTTCCCCTGCAGATTTTTCCAATCTTACCCTTAGGTTCCATGTTTGAGCCGTGAGTGGTGTGCAGAGTTCATCTGCACTTGCTTCACTCAGAAAGAGATACAGAAAGACATTGAGATGCCAGTTGGTAGCTGCATCCAAAGAGCACAGGCTAAGGACCCAGGATGCCACTGGTCTGGGTCCACATGTGAAAACAAGCCACATATTTGAGATTCTTACCTCACTGGGAGGTAGGTGGTGATGAAAGCAGGAAAATTTTGTCAGTGTCCTTAAAACATTTCCATGTGTTTCTTACATTTAGGGCTTAACATGACCACCAAAGGAAGTCATGAGCGATCTTGAGGATTCTTTGAATCCTGAATTGAGTTAGTAGCAAAATCTATCTCTGTACGGTCTTCAGACTAAACTCCTGACTCAGACTAAAGCTTGGGCTTTTAATCACATTTAAAGGTACACTGATTCTCAGCTCAAACAGAATGAAAAACTGAATCCGAAATATGTAGTGACTTATTCACCTCTTACCTAGTGAGTTTAATTTGACTTTTCTCTGGACACCAAAGCCAGCTTGATATGGCTTGGGTGTCACTTCTGGTAAAAGTACTGATATTTTTGACAAGGTCAATGTTGCAGTTGGGAAAATTCTGCCACTTTTTAGCCTCCTACTTGGTTGTGACACCAGTGGCTTTCAGCCCTAGCATGGATGTTGTGTCTGCCATCAGCATCCCAGCATCAGATGTAAACAAAAACTCCAAGGTATCATTCAGATGTGCTGACCATAGTTCCGTGTGTGCTGCATGCTCAGAACTCCTCTGTCTATAGAAGCAGCAGCATTATGGGATAACAAAGCAGATGAGGTGATCCCCAAATAGTGGGGTTAAGGTCAAACACCTCTCTTTTGTCTCCCAGAAGAGGGAGATGCCCACTGATGGTAATTCATCCTTGAGAAGCTATTTAGGAAACTCAATGCCAGGAAGCTACTAACACTGGCACAAGTTGACCATTATGTTCTGACTTCCCAGGTCCCCACTCTGAGGCTCCGTCCTGCAATGCCAACTCCCTGTCCTGCCCTTCTTCTTGCACATGCAGTAATAACATCGTGGACTGCCGAGGGAAGGGACTGACAGAGATCCCTGCCAACCTGCCAGAGGGCATCGTGGAAATGTAAGTGTCCATTTGCCGTTCCTCCATCCCTAGTCAGCTCACTCCTCTGATTCATCCAGGGCCCTCAGTGGACTGTCAGAAATGTTGGGCTGTTAAGTATGGCCGTGAAAAACACTTGGGAACCTCTTCTCTAGGGCTCTAGGTTTTCATCGGTATAATGACTCAGTGGTCAAGAACATGGACTCAATAATAGTGTTATCCAACTACAGCCTATAGGCTCTATGTTACAAATAAAGTTTAATGGAGACACATGCATTCCTGTTTGTTTACACTGTCTTTGGCTAGTCTCTTGGGGCAATATGGAGTAAGTAGTTATGACCAAATATCATACAGTGCACACAGCCTAAAATGTGTTCTATCTGGTCCTCCTCAGCAAGCTGTCAGTCCCTGCCTGGGGTCGGATGGAGTCTATACCCCCTGGATCTCCTGCATACTGTCTGGCTGGGTAGCATTTGGTGAACTAGTTCTCTGTGTTTTCTTACCGCTGATTTTCAAGCCCTGCTAAGTGTAGTATTAAGTGTCAGGGATCTCGGTGAAAAACAAGGTGAAGTACTGTGTGTGAGCGCTTAGTGAAGGCCTCCGGATGGGGCAGGGGACTAGGAAGGAAAATGCTGAGCTGCATTCATAGCTGTTTATCGTTCCTGTGAGACCTTTGTCCTTTAGATTAGCTCTTCAGGTAAAGAGACGAGATGGTGCATGTCTATGTGTGTCTATGCATGTGTACAAATGTGAGACTCCGTGGTAAGATGTGTCCGTATGACTCAGCCTTGTTTATGTTCCCTCGAGAGTTAGAACTCAGCCATTGGCTCAGTTCTAGGATGGGTAGAGTATTGGTTCAGCGTTGGCCTCAAGCCGACTGTTAGAGGGCCAGAGCTACTTTCGTGTTCTGCCTTTACCATTGGCACTTGATGGAGGCTTCCAAACAACATGGGATGAAATCCCTCCAAGTGAAAGTCCTAGAGTCCCTTGCCTCTCGGCTGCACAATTGCCTCCTGCTCTGTCTCTGCCTCCACCTCCTCTGTTCAGATACTTCTGTTCCCAACTCCTTCCAATCCGGGGTCCATTCACGGCTTCGTCTGTCTGTGTGTTTGCACGGCAGTTGGTCTGTGCTCCAAGAGAGGGCGGCAAACAATGCAGACAAGATGTCTGCCATTGTGGCCCGTGTGTTCTAGAGAGACCAAACAGGAAAGGAATTCAAACATGTCCAAAAGTGGCTGGTGTGTCGAGAAAAGTGAAGCCAGGAAAAGAGCTGAAGCAAACGGAGGGGGTGGCAAAAGTGACTTCTGGCGTAAGATTGCAGGGGTAGCGGGAAGGTTGTGTGCAAAGGCCCTGAAGTGCAGGTGTGTCTGGCACAGCAGGAGGCCATGGTGACCGACCGAAGCAGAGGAAACAAGGGGGAGGTAGAGGAGCTAAGGCCAGAGGGGAAATGGGGGCCAGATCACGGGGCGGTTTATGGACTTTGGTTGCAGCCTGGTCGAGATGAGAGGCACGTGGTCCACACCAGTGGAGTCCTGGTTTGCTCTTTCATCTGCTTCACCAGCGCTCCTCTGAGTCTCTGCCCCAGCCCCAGAGGGCACAGGTTTGTCTGTGCTGCTTACCAGGGTGGGAGCTAAGGAGTGGGGAGGCTTTTGCTGTCCACACTCTGTGAGGTCATCACACGTGCCCACTGCCTTCCAGCAGTCAGGGTCCGCCGACGTCACTGTCCACAGTGCTGTGTCCTCAACCTGGAGAGAGCCCTCTCCTGGAGTGTACAGAGCCCTGGCCCACCTCGCCGTTTCTAGCTTCTTCCTCTTGTCCATCTCTTCCCGCTTTTCTCTTCCTGTGCCACGTCTCCTTCATCGCTAGCTCTCTTCTTGGTTCATTTCCCTATTTCTCTCCCTCCCCATGATGTCCCACATCTCTCCCACGGCTCTATCTTCCTTTGCCTTGTTAACTCTGCGCCCTTCTTCCTCAGAGGCCTCTGCCCACGTCAGGTGGGACTTTGGCCCTCTCGAGATGGGTGTTCTGGTGAGAACACCTGCCCACCCCCACATCCTTGCAGATTCCCATGGCACAGCCCCCATCTTCTTCGGGTCTTCTCTCCTTCCACCTGCCAGGTTTTGTATCTTGTTCTTTGGCACCCGGAGAACTTCCTCTTGGCCACGACACTAACTCAGCCTAAAGGAAGAAGCCAAGGTAAACTGTCAAGCTGTATCCAGGGACGCTGCCCCATCTCTGTCTGTATCCTGTTCTTTCCAGATTCCCATATGTCCCCAAGTGTGGACTTTACAGGACAACTCAGGTCTCCAAAAGCTCAAAACTGCAGCTGCCTACATTAAAAGTGTCCCCTATACTGGCCAGATCACACCCGGGTAATTGGACTGGTTTGGACACTGACTATTAAAACAAACGCTGACAAACTAGGATCTTAATATGGGATAATTCCAGGCTACCTTCATTTTGCTGCTATCAAAAATGCCATTTATTTTACAAAATGTTGGGCACTGCAGACAGAGTATGTGTATGCATTATATAATACTCATACATAAAGATTGCCTTTTCTTGATAATTTATAAAAAAAAAAATCTTTAGTGACCTAGTAAATCAGAAAGTCCAGGAATGGACAGCCTAGGTTTTTCCAAAGATGAACAACAACCACGTGGTGATTGTGATGGTATGGTCCATCAGACCCCACAGCAACCACGTGGAGGTTAAGGTGGTATGCTCCATCAGACCCCACAGCAACTATGTGGAGGTTAAGGTGGTATGCTTCAGCAGACCCCACAGCAACCAAAGGGAGGTTAAGGTGGTATGCTCCAGCAGACCCCACAGCAACCAAGGGGAGGTTAAGGTGGTATGCTCCAGCAGACCCCACAGCAACCACATGGGGGTTAAGGTGGTATGCTCCAGCAGACCCCACCACAACCACATAGAGGTTAAGGTAGTATGCTCCAGCAGACCCCCATGCCACCTCTGACCTTGCCTTGTAGCCACTGGCACATAACTTTTCTGAGTCTTTCTTCTCTCACCTGAGAACTGCAGGGGCTGGTGGCACTTCCTCGGGGCTTCATAAATGGCATGTCGTGCAAGAAGCTTGGCATTGTGTGCAGCACAGCAGAGATGCTGTTGGCGACCACCATTATGTCACAGCCACAGCTACTGCAGTAGTGCCACCACCTTCATTCTTCATGGTGACAAGAGTCAGAATAGCGTATCCCAGGAGGCACCCACTGAACAGGGGCCTCTGTGAAGACTAGTCGGTTCTTCAAAGAGTTATGGGCGCGAGGATTGATGGTAGGCAGAAGCTAGCCCCATACGGCTTGAACTTGAGAATAGCTCATCTTCATGCAAATATATGCAGACATGGTAATAAGGTTGCCCCTGCTTATTGGGCACCCACCGTCTACCAGATGGATCACATAGGACTTCTCTCGCTGTGCTTGCCTCTTTCTCCTCTGTCATGAAACGCAGCTGAGAGATTAAAGCGGATGAATTAAGTCCCTGTGGTTCGGGGTAGTAGTTTGAACGGTGATCTGTAAGAGAGAGTGTGCCATAGGAAGCTCCAGCAGTGCCCGGGCTTGGGGACCTGTGTGCTAGCCCAGAGTCTCCCAGGCAGCTAAAGTATGTCCTTGTAGTGGCGCTAACACACCAGCCGGTGAGCGGTGAGAGGGAGGGAAGAGGAGCCAAGTTGCATCAGCAGGATGCAGCTTGGCAGAAAAGGTGTGTTTGATTTTTCAGCCCAGCGACGTCGGAACGTAGCCTTCTCTTTAATAATATCAAGAATTAAACCTCTTGCCCATGGCCACCTAGAACCCATATTTCCATCTCTCCACTTAGAAATGCTTGGCAGGGTACCAGACTCTCCGCTTCCTTTCCTCAGTCCGTAGCCATTTCAGATTCTTTTAAATCGTCTTAACCTTGGGAACAGTCCACAGTCCCGACATTTGGAAGGAATGCCTATCTCTCATGCAAAGCAACCTGGCAGGCTCTCTTAGATTTTTTTTCCTTCAGAGAAGTGTGTGCTGGTCTCCTCGCATGCCAGAGCCAATTTCTCTAAAAATAGCTTTCTTCCAGAAAACCCACAGTGAGAGGGTTCGCTGTAGATTTTCCTCGAAACTCGGCTTCCGTCAAGGGCACTGTTCACGTAGCTCCCTGGTGTTTCTCTGAACTGGCTCCAGCATCCAGCAGGGAAGATTCAAGGAAGAACCAGAGGTCCACACACATTCCTGTCCTCAGTCCCCAGACTCTCTCCTGGGCCTTCAAATGCTCTAGAGGGACCATCTGTATGAAGGGTACCTTCTGATTCTCAGCTCCATTTCCTCCACACTTGCTCTGAATCCCCATGTGGTGTCCTCTAGGGTCTCCTGTCCTTTGCTATAGAAGGAAATCGGGTTTGATAGGAAAAGACTGTAGGTGGGCTTCAGCGTGAAGCTGTAAGTGGACATCTGGAAGGAACACACAGCCCCAACATCAACCTCACAGTCAGCTGGCATGAGGAGACCCTGGCTTAGCTAGACTTGAGGCTTACAAAAGTTGTGCAATTAAAAACAAAGTGACCAGTCAACCATACGAATAGTCAGAACACTCTAGAAATCAGACATCTAGGACACCTAACTATTTACGAGCACCAGATTTCTGAAGCACTGGCCTGGATGGGGGTGGGGATAGGATATGGGGATGGGAGCAGATGCTGGCAATATGGAGCAAGTGATCCAGACACAGATGGCTCAGAGCCTTGGGGTCAACAGTCTTTCACTTGTATCCTGCTTTTGTCTCTGACTTCAGGCACATTTCTTCATATCTCGTGTCTGATTCGGGAGCCCCTTTGGTAAATAAAAGTTACCGTCACTCCCTAAAGGCTTCTTATGGGGATTGAGTGGTATAACCTGGAAGGTTAGCACAGCATTTGGAAATTACTAAATCTGAAACGTGAAAAGCAAAACCCTGTTCACCTATGTGCCTCGATAGCATGATTTAGTCTCAAACTCCTACACTGCCCATTTTTTTTTCTTAAGATTAAA